GGGAGTGCTGACTCATACAGCTTCTTTGGAAATCAGTATGGAGATTCCTCAGGAAAATGGGAATTAATCTACCACTAGACCCAGCAATTCCACTCTTAGGCATATATCCAAATGAGGCAAGTTCATACAACAAGGGCATCTGCTCCACTATGTTCATAGCAGCATTATTTGTAATAGCCAGAACCTGGAAGCAACCTAGATGCCCCTCAACTGAAGAGTGGATAGAGAAAATGTGGTACATTTACACAATGGAGTATTACTCAGCAGAAAAAAATAACGGAATCTTGAAATTCGCAGGTAAATGGATAGCACTGGAAGAAACCATCCTGAGTGAGGTAACCCAGTCGCAAAAAGACAAACATGGTATGTACTCACTCATATATGGATTTTAGACATGGATCAGGATAGTGCCAGTTTGCACTTCCACTGCTAGAGAGTCTGGGAAACAGGAAAGAACCTAAAAGATATGCATATATGCATAGTACCCAAGAGAAGAGGATGGAGACAAGATCCCCTGAATGGATGGGGAACACCGCGAGGGGTGGGGAGGAGTGGGACCTGGGAAGAAGATAGGGGGTGAAGAGGAAGAGAGTTTGTCATGGGGGAACAGGAAGTTGAGGGGGTGGGGGTAGAATAAGGGGAAGAGGGAATCATAGGATCGAATACAGATCAGGCACCAGAGTGACCTCGAGTGATCTAAAGGGATAACACCAATTGGCAAGCTAAGCAATAGTGGAGAGACCACCTCGAATGCCCATTCCTGATAATGAACTTGATGTCTATAACCATCCTGGAACCTTCATCCTGTGACTGATGGAAGCATAGGCAAACACACAATTAATCACTGAACTGAACCCAAGAAACCCAGTGACAGAGAGAGAGGAGTGATGAGCAAATTGGCAAAGAATGGGCTGGCAAAACCAGCAGAGACAGCTGATCTGAACAGGGGAGAGCTCTTGGACCCCAGACTGACAGTGGGGAGGCCAGCATGGGACTGATCTGCACCCCCCAAATGTGAGTGTCAGCGAGAAGGCCTGGGCAACCTATGGGGCCCTGAGCTGTGGATCAGTGTCTATCCCTGGTATACAAACAGTCTTCGTGTGCCTATAGCACAAAGAGGGATGCTCTCTCAGCCTGGACTCTTAGGGGAGTGCCTGGACCCTACCCAGAGTAAAATGACAGACTCTGATATCCCCTATGTGGAAGGATTTGGCAATAGGGTGGGAGGGTGGGGGGGAAGGGGAGTGTGGGAGGAGGTGAGGGAGAGGGAACTGGGATTGACATGTAAAGCAAGCTATTTAAAATAAAAAATGATAAAAAACAAAAACAAACAAAAAAAAGCTAGAGGAGTGAGCATAAACTCCACAGGTCATTTCAAACTCATTTTCTTATACAGTGGGAGCAGGAGGTGTGAACACTGGAATCTGTGGTTGAAGACTGGGAATGTGGTTGAGTAGGATGACTGTTTACCTAATACACAGGAGGTCTTGGTTGGATGCACCGAAAGGCATGAATCAGGTTGTAATAGTTTGAATGTAATTGGTCCCCCATAGGCTCATGCGGAGTAGAACTATTGTGTGATGTTCCCTTGTTGAAGTAAGTGTGGCCTTGCTGGAGGAAGGGTGTCACTGTGGGGGCTGGCTTTTGGTCTCCTTTGTTTAAGCATCACTCAGTGTCATAGTCTACTTCTTATTTCCTGACAGATGTAGGACTCCCAGCTACTTCTCCAACACCAAGCATGCATGCATGCCCCCTGCCATGTCCAGCCATGATGGTAATGCACTGGACCTCTGAAACTGTAAGTGAACCACCTCAATTAAATGCTTGCCTATATAAGAATTACCATGGTCATGGCTGGATAGATAGTTCAGCGGTTTAGAGCACTGGCTGCTCTTCCTGAGGTTCTGAGTTCAATTCCCAGCAACCACATATTGGCTCACAACCATCTATAATGAGATCTGGTGCCCTCTTCTGGAGTGCAGGCATGCAGTCAGAACAGTGTATACATTATCAATAATCAAATAAAAAAAAGAGTTGCCATGGTCATGGTGTGTCTTCACAGCAATAGAGACCCTATCTAAGACACAGGCTGGGTGGTGTACACATCTGTCATCGTAGTGCTTGACTAGTAGCGGATGGAGATATGAAGTTTGAAGCTATCCTCAGCTGAATGTCAACTTCATGGCCATTCTGGGATACTGGAGACTTTATCTCAATAAAACACAAACACATGAAACACCTGGTACACACTGGTATTCAGGATGCAGTCTCACAGGCAAATTTGATGGTGCATTCCTTTAATCTCAGCATGGAGGAGGCAGAGGCAGGATGATTTGTCTGAATTCCATGCTGGGAATAGGTATCTTTCCTCTAGAGTGACTCCATTTTCTACCTATAATGCTATTTAATTTGTTAACTTATAGAAAATAAATTTATATATTGAATTGAAATTTAGCAAGGGTGTTGGCACATGCCTTTGAACCCAGAATTCTGCAGCAGAGAAGTATTCACTCTGGTTCCAATATTACATCATTGAATATTATCCTTGATGAATATTCCTTCACATTTACTCATCTTTGAGAGTGATGAGAATATAAAAACCATCATAATTAGTTGTAGGCCTTCTAATATCCATTTTGTAGTAAAAAAAACAAAGAATATTAAGACAAAAATAGTATGTTATTAAATTCCTATGTTTCTATCTGATTTTACAGACAAAGGATATAAAGACAGTAACACCAAAATTAATACAGCATTTACAATTTGGGGTAAAAAGAATACTTCCTAAGTTGGGCAGCTCTTATAGGTCCCAAAATTGAAACGTGACCAAATAGTGGAGGTTTTATTTGAAGGTCACCAGCCACAGCCACAGGGTAGGAGCTTTGAAGAAAAAGGCCCCACAGTCCATGGCTTACAAGCAGGACACAGTGCTGAGTGTTAGCAATCACAGAAATCAGGAAGAGATGAATGAAGAATCTAAATTTCAAGGGAAACATGGGCTGTTTGAAGCTATTAAGAAGAATGAAAAGAACAGAAGAGGACAGTGTACCCAGACCCCAATCCCTTTGCTCTATCATTTCCTTTTTCTTCAGCCAACATTAAAATCCAGTTGGTCATCTCAGCCTGAACATAATGGAATGCACTTGCTGGCCAAGCTCTCCAACCTCCTTCAAGGAGAGTGGTTCTGTTAGGCTCTCATTGCATCGAATATCTTTTAAAATAACCCAGTGAACAGCACAGCAGAAAGATGGACAGAGGAAAAGGCCAGTAGGAAAGGATTTGAATGACAATGAGAATCCAAAGAGTTTTCCTATGGACAGGGAGTCCTGGAGATTGAATTACTTCTTCCAGGAGTTACATTTACAAGTTGCCAAATGTCTGGCTCCAAATAATAATTTAGACACACAATTGTCTTTCTACCTCCACAGACACCTGTGCCTCATCCCAATTCCTCCATATCAAACTCAGTGCCTGTGATCAGAGCTGACTCCATACCATTGATTCCAAAACACTGAACACCATGTGAAACTGTGTGCTCTGTGTGCTATTGGTAAGAGATCTGTCTCTTTGATGTCAGGACCTGCTCAACTTTGAGCCTGAGCGATCACTGTGGTGGAGAGTGGAAAAAAATCCACAGACATAGTTAGATAATTGCTGGGATGATGTGGACTGTGTGCACTCTGAAGGGGACACACCAGCTACCCGGAAATATAGCACATTTATTAAATATTATCAACACAAGCATTCAGCTACTCATGGTAGGTGATCTCTGTGGAGAACAGATGAGAGTTTCCTACACAAGCACAAAAACCTAACTGCCATCCCCAGAATGTCCTGGGGGAAAAACAAACTAAACCTTGAAAATAATCCTGGTAAAAGTAGTGAGTTCAAAACAAGTCTCAACTGTTCAGTGAGTGATGAGGTGAGAGAGAGAGAGACACAGAGACAAAGAGCCTGACAGACAGAAAGACAGAGATCGAGGGAGAGAGAGACAGAGACAGAGAGAGAAAAAGATAGAAAGTGGGGGGGCAGAAGAGAGTGAGGAACAGAGAGAGAGAGTGTGGGACAGAGAGGGGAAAAGAGAGAGAAGGATCTTCTGACATCCATACTTTTACAATGGCGCAGAAGTTTGTACATACTGACTCACATGCACATTCATGATAAGTAATGAAAGAAAAGGCATGTCCTGAAGATATGGCTGATAAACTTTAGTATCTTGTGGAAGGTATCATGACAAAGATGTGGAAGAGCTTTCTGAAGTGGATGCTGACATTTGCCAAGGGTATCAAAAGGAACGCTGCACCAGAAAGGTACCTGAAGTCACCCATCCATATGGAAATAGAGATGGGATTCCTTCATACATGGTAAGTATAAACTGTTGATTTGGAACCACAGCCCTTAAGCACAAACATACTTCATCCCATAACTTTTTCCTCTACTGTAGAGGCATCATCATGACACCTGCAATTTGATTTTACATACTTTGATATGTTAAACCCAGTGAGTGTATCAACCATTTAGAGAGTCTTCATATATAATTCTATGAATATATTTTCATTTAAATCTTAATCATCATTAATTATGTGTGTTAAAGGGCATGGGTGCTGTTTGTGTGTAGATGGAGATGACTGCAAGTGCTCCCAGAGACCAGATATAAACTTCAGATAACCTGAAACAGTTCAAAGTGTCTGACATCAAACACTGTTCCCCAGAAGGAGCAGTAGGCACAATTACACTCTGAGCCATCTCTCCAAGAGATTCTCTCTAGCATTATGACAGGGGATGCATGAAGCTAAGGTGTAGAAAATCTCCATGAGCAAGGCATGTTGAGCCATTACATTTTCTGAAAGTTCTAGGATGCAAAAGGCATAGAGACAAGGGGACACAAGAATATGTAAACACTTTAAGCATAAAGAACAGGTATGAGACGGTAAATAAACTGACTCAACAAAATGTTGCAATGCACTCTCTCATGCAAATCTGTTTATTGAAATGATTGAAACTGTAATGCTAATGACTGTGGAGGAAATGACATCCAGCTTACATCCCTCTTGAAACCAGAGGAAGAGAGATCAGGCTGAATAGTGACAGTACTGTATGTTCAAAACCAGTTCATTCCCCTGAGAAGGTTATTTTTCATAAAAGACACATACATGCATACATTACAAATTTTTATGTAAGGTGGACAAGAAAAAGATGGAGACCAAACAAAAACAGAGACATGGAGCAAAACTCATCCAGTCCATTGTGCTCTTTGTACTCTCCTGTCTTTCTACTCTTCCCTGTGTCTATGGTCTCTCATTCCCTGATTACACTGGGATGCAATCCCTTCCATTTTCAAATCCGTTTTCCTGTCCGAGGCTGGGACTTCACTGTTGGCCCTCAGCAGTTAAGGAGCCACTGATTCTCGAGCTCAGTGCTTTTCTATCTTGTCTGAATCAATGAAACTATATTGTTTTCATATAAATCTGAAACCCCTTGAATAGACATCCTCTGTGTCTCTGATGAGTCACTTGAGTCCTGGCTTTCATTTCTCAGAGTCCAGCAGTGATATCTCATCCTTTATTCCCAACATGAACATAGTGAGGCCTCCTTGTCATACACACAGAAACCCTGGCAATCAAGACATCTCTTACTCACAAAATAGATCTCTCTCGGCTCTCTTATACCTCTGATTGTTTCCAAGAGCTCAAAACAGTGTTGGGCAAATCTGTCTGGCAGGACATCACCAATGTCATCATAGACTTCATCAGGGGCAGGGTACATCTCTAGGGTCAGTTTTTTAAGGTTAGCAGTGTGCTGCAGCAGCTTCTGAAGACTGGACACAGACAGGAAGTTCTTCACAAAATTCACCTCAACCAGCTGGGAACACTGGCTCAGGGCAGGGAGAAGAACACCGATTTGGAAATCCATGAGCTTACATCCCTTCAATTTTAATGTCCGTAGTGTACCTGTCAATCTCTCTAGCAGTCTTCCTAGAAGAGCATGACTTAAATTTAAAAAGCTGACACCACTCAGGTCCAGATGTGTGAGTTGATGAACGCTTAGACACTGGGAAAGATGCATCATATCTGCTTCTGATAGCATGCAGCGAGTGATTGCAAGGATCTCTAAAGGACTCTCCAAGTTCCTAAAAAAGACAAAGGAGTTTACTTCTGTAAATATAATAGTGGATGAGAAAGAGCAATGAAGTCCATGTAGAAGAGGCTAGTTTGTCCTAAAATCATTCTGAGATCATCGTGAAGTCCACACTCAGGACACGACCTGATGGACAGTTAACAACACATGCCTAGTGACAGAGAGGAACGATGAACAAATTGTCAAAGAATGAGCTGTCAAAACCAGCAGAGACAACTGATCTGAACAGGGAGAGATTTTGGACCCCAGACATACAGCTGGGAGGCCAGCATGGGACTGATCCAGACCACCTGAGTGTAAAAGATGGTGAGGAGGCCTGGGCAACCTATGGGGCCCTGGGCAGTGGATCATCACTATTTATCCCTGGCATACAAATGGAATTCGTATGCCCATAACACAAAAAGGGATGCTCTCTCAGCCTGGACATTTAGGGGAGTGCCTGGACCCTGCCCTGAGAGAAATGACAGCCATTAGATATCCCCTATGTGGAAGGAAGTGGCAATAGCAGGAGAGATGTGCGGGGGTGGGAGTGTGAGGGAGGAGGGGAGGGAGAGGGAAATGGGATTGACAAGTGAAGCAAGCTATTTAAAGTAAAATAATAAAAATACAACAAATGTCCATCATTGTGACTGTTTCTGTCCTGAAATCTGTTCCCTCTGCACTGTCGAGCATAAAAGCTCATCAGATGATGAATTAGCGGGAAACAAGAAAGGAAAACCAAGGGGGAACTTAGTGCCATCCCTGTGTGTGTGCCAACAGTGGTCTCCATGAGTCCCAGCTTGCTGGCACAGACTCTGTCCTGCTTTTAGGGCTTCTCTGTGGCCCTAATCACTCTCAGGCATTTTCCATTTACTCAGGCTCTACCTGTGCTCAAAGAGCACCTGGGGGTGAATGGGAAGCCCCAGGTTTGCACAAATGTTTCATGTAACAAGGAAAAGCTGTGCTCTGCGCTGCAGAACAAGCTATGTATGCTGCTCACCTGAGCACTCGGTCCAGTCTACCATGGAGGAAGAAGACACCATTCAAATAGAGATTCTTGAGCTTGTTGAGTTGGGAGAACTGGGAAATGATCTCTGTAAAACACCATTCTTTCCTCTCTTGGTCCCTAAACCACTCCAAAGGTGTGAAGATTTCATTGATAAGGAGTTTCTGAAGATTTCTCATCTGACCCAGGCCAGCGGCAAACATCGCAAGGGTTCTCAGGTCCCAGCGTGCATTCACTTCCAACTCCTGTATAGAGCTTTGCTCAAATACCTCCAGCAGCTTTAGTGGCTTATAGGCAGGGAGGGCCCCAAACTCCACCTTTTCACAGATCACCTGCACCACATCTTTCCTCTGCTTGGCCCACCAGTGGAAATATTTTAGGGATTTACAGAGATCCCTGGACTTGAGGGAAAGGTTCATCATCACAGTCACAACCTGTTTTCCCCGTCTTATGGTATGACACACCGCTGATTGCCTCTCACTAATGACATCTGGAGAGCACTCAACATCCTCTGTTCCAGCCCACACCTTCCAGAAGTTGTGTTGGAAATCCCGAAGGTCAAGCACTTCTAGTTTGCAAGCCCTGTTGGTCAGACAAGACAATGAATCAAACACAGGGTTACCAATGTACAGTCTGCCAAACCCCCACATATCCACTTCTCTCAAATCCATTCTTTAAACCAAGACTCTTTCCAATTCTAGTGGCTGGTGGAATAATAGCAGAGGTACAGTCACTCTATGTGTCTACATCTATTAGCACAGCACTCCATGCACCACTGTCCTTTCTCATTTATGCACTTCTCTAAGAAAGCTCTGATTCAACTTGGACCACATTCTAAACTCGGTAGTCACCTCCCTCCATCCACACTCTGCCCTTCCACGCTAGCATTTTCTCAATTACCTAGGTTGAGCCTTCTGTTTAATGAGCAGGTCAAGGCCATCCAGCACAGCCTTCAAAATCTCCAGGTCAGAAGTCTTCATCAGGGCTCCCACAGGAAGGCATCTGAAGGGCCAGGCTGCCACCATGGCCCTCAGGATGTTTGTTTGTTTGCCATCGAAGGCGACTTTAAATACTGGCGGGAAGAGTTCCATGGGCAAAGTCTTCAGAGCAGAGAGAGACAAGGCTTCATCTTTCAGCAGACTTTTTATTGCCAGCAGCTTGAGCGACGATGGAGAACTCATTCTGAACTTCTTATACACAGGTTCTATAGAAAGATGCAGAGAATAAACCCATTTAGTCATACCCCACTTCCCCTTCATTGCCTAAGCCATGGAGGCTTTAATTCACTAACCTAGAATAGCTTGAAATCATGTATTGTGTATTAATCCCTATCTGACTTTCTCATAGCCATAAATCCCTCTAAGATATCTTGGAGATGAACACCTCTGGGAACAAGTCTCTCTGTTATTTGACCAATCAAAATCTCTGTTCCAGTAAATACTAATGTTCAGGGTTTTTAGAAATTGGAGAATCAAATGAGAACCAGATTCTTTTGTTGGCAACCATCTTTAAATATCTCTCATGATCCTCAAGAGCAAAGTGATATTTCCTTCTGCCAAGTATGCTTGGGATTCAATCAATGGAACTTGCTGGCTGAAAGTAAGAAATGGGTAGAATAGCCATTATTTGGAAAACTTTAGAACCTGGAGCCACAAAAGCTTCCAGCCACGCTTTAGGAGTTCAAATACTGGGAATTGTCATGCTTTCCTGAGATTCATGGCCAAATTATGCTCTCTAGAACTTTTTTCATTTGCAGTTAATAAGTATATAGTCACTTTGAATTAAATACCTTTAAGGAAGATTAGAGGTGTTGGTCAGTGCTTGGTCAAAGTGCCTTAGCTCTTGAATATAACAATTTCAGCAATCTTTTAAAGGACACAGAAATTTAGCTCCAGGTCTCACTAATCTTAACAATTACCTATATGTGGACTTCAAGGCTAGCCTCGGCTACATGGAATTATCACCTTCAAAAGAGGCACACCAAAGAAAACAACAACACACTCAGGAACACTAAGCTGACCTAAGAGACTGGTGAACCTGGGTATGGTTTTGTCATCTTGAGGGGTATGAAAGCATTCCCTGATCAGGACATACATAACAGGTTTTCAAATCCCAGCACATCCTGGTAGTCATTTTGGATCCAAAAAACAGTGCCTAGCCAGCCCATGATAACCTTTATAGGCCCATTTACAATCACCCTTTCCCTTCATAGTCCCACCTCTCAGCCAAGTGCTGCCTTCTGATTGTATCACAAGGCATCTCCCAATGCAGTAGTACTACTTGGTCTTTTACATCCACGGCTTGAGTGAATCAGATGTGGGAAAGCATGAAATGCCAGACCATAGTCAAGTCCCAAAAGCCTCCATAACACTACTCCACAAACTCACAGCACTAGGATACTCTCTCTTCCTTACATTAATATGTTTGTAAATTTCATATAAATTCTCTCTATGTAACTCAGGCATATCAAAACTCATTATGTACCCTGAGCTGAGCTGGAAGTCTCAGCAATCCTTCTGGCTGATTATAGTAGTATGTGATCTGCCTCCCTCAATCTGCTTAGTGCCTGGATTAAAGGTGTATGTCACATGATACATAACAGGCCCAGTGAAAACTAATGGGGTTCAAGCTTAAGGTGAAGATCAGAGAAGGAAAGCAGCTAAACCACTACCTCTTACCTTTACCTCAGGCTGAAAGAACTGATCCTCTCTCCACCAGCTCTCACCAAGTTTCAGACAGCTGCCTACCCTCTGTGTGGCTTCAGAATAATTCTAAGACTGACTACTGAAGTCCCTGCTTCTTTTATACTTCACTAGTGCTGGGATTAAAGGTGAGAAATGTGTTACTCTGTCTTGGGATTAAAGGTGTACCTGGCATAAGGATATCTAGGATGGTTGATTTGCTATTTTGATCTGCAGTGGCTTTAATAAATCATGAAAAGTATTTTACCACTTGTGTGAGCCACCACCACCTGGGTAAATTATGATTTATTTTCCTTCCTTTTTTGTGTTTTTTTTAGATAATCTTTTTTTCTGTAACGATGGAGCCTATCTTGGCCTTGAATTCAGTGAGATCCTACTGCCTCAGCCACTCAAATATTGGGATTAAAGGCATGCACCTCTACCTCACAGCTAAATTAGCACTTCCTATATGCCTGCTTGCTGTGCTGTGTACAGGCTAATCTTGTAGCCTCACTTGTGTCCCAGAACATAGATGTGTCTAGATCTGGGAACTACCAATTCCGATGTCCACTTAGCAGTCCCTACTCAGAAGGATGAGAAAGAAATAACAAAGTCAACACCTGCGTGAAATTCATAGTGAGCTCAAGGCTGGTATCAGTAGTTTAGAAGAGACTGTGTGCCATGGAAAAACAGGAAATGAACTTTGAGTCCTGCATGGAGTCACTGGCCTGGGATGTACGTAGGAGCAATCCCATCTGAACAAACAGGAAAGCCAGTGACCTGAGACCTGCTTGAAGGCAAATGTCTGTAAACCCGAGTGCTGGGATTAAAAGTAAGAGCCAACACACTTGACTATCCTTGAGACATTTCTATAATAGGCAAGGCTATTGCTGATCTCCAGATCTTTCTGGCTCTATAGAGATTCTTATTCCCATTTTAGAATTCCAGTTAGAATTTACGCTGTTGTTCAAAACCTTAGCACTCCCTTCAATAACGGATTCCTGATTAGGGTTTCATAATTGTTTGAATTATGATTTACAAATGCTTCTGGGATCTGCTAGTAGCTTTATGGACACAAGCTACATGTTGCAGCTGAACTGAGATCTAATCTTTAGGAATGTGGTTGCTTCAGCCTTGACTATTTGACTTGACATTTTCTAAGAATAAAATTTTAAAATGACAGATCCAGGAAGCACATCCAAGGTACACATGGGAACTAGAATGCAGTTTCTGAGCATAAAATATCACTCATCCGGGACAAACATCCCTGCCTGTTGTGTTTACATTAATTCAAACAAAAGCAGATGGATGACCTGGGAATGGGGAATGTGGCTCATACTTGTGGCATATTTGTATTGGGCTCACAACACCACAACATATCCACCTACATAAAGACATAGCGAATCTTATTTGATCCCCTAACCTGAACTCACCTGAAGCCACACTACAGAGAAATAGACTGGCCTGCAGTCCTCTTACTATGCACATAAAGTGCTGCCACTAGAGGCTCCTGCCACCATGGCAGGAGCAGCATGCTAAATAATTGACCCAGAGGCTGATATTGTTGCTCAAACTTCAAGTTGAATTTCACAAATGCAAAGCAGCTAGCAACTAACTCTTACCTCAGTCTCAGGCAGTAAGGGCTGATCCACAGACAACCTCTTCACCAAACCTCCAACTGCTGCCTCTCTTTCCTGCCTGCAGAATGTATGACTGACACTGAATACTGAGGACACTGCTTCTATCTTTTATACCTCTCTAGTGCTGGGATTAAAGGTGTGTGATTGTGATCTGTTACTCTTTTACACTAACTCAATCTCATGGATCCCATGGTAGTCTTGAACTCAGAGAGATAAGTCTGTCTCTCAATAAGGAGTCCTAGGATTAAAGGTGTGGACCACCACCAATTAGCTTCTGCTTCAGGGATTAAAGGTGTGAGCCACCACTGCGTGATCTCTACAGCTTTAGGCTGATTTTGCTTTCTTAATCCTCAGTCAAGCTTAGTAAATCGTAAATAATATATAACTACAACCAGGCAACTATGCGCTATCAGACAGCCAGATGCACTAGCCAGGCATCATAGCTAAAATAGGGAATCCAAACACTCTCAATGATAGGCAAGAGTATGGTAAAGAGGAGCTAGCCTGGGCTACATATTGAGTTCCAGTCAGAAAGCATACCCAATTGATCTCCTGGCTGCAGTGCAGGGAAAACCATATTTTAAACAGCAAATAAAAGAGTAGATGTATTTGATACTGTTTGTGTTTAGCTAGGCCCAATCAATACCTTGGATGTCCTCTTCCTGTAAGACACTATGCACTGGCATCTCCATTTTAGAAGCACAGTCTTTTGGGTTCTCTCATTCCATCTAATGGTATCTGAATTGCTGTACAGGAACACGTTTCGCTTTGTTTGGATTTATGTTGCAGACAAAGTCTGGCTATAGGTGGCTACTCTTGGTTCCTTTCCTCAGGACAGCATTCTCATGTTGATTATCTGCATTTGCTGGTGACCCTCTGATGTAGCCTTGCTCATCCAAGCATCCTATGTTTGGTTGAGCCTCCTTTATTCCCTGCCTTGTTACTGACCAATCAGTGATTCTTAAAATCTATTAGAGAGACAATCTTTACAGTGGAATAGAGGACTATTGCACAGCAATTGCCTGTGTAATATGCCCAATGGGCCCGGCCACAGTTTTCCACAGCCTGAGACTGCCAGGGAAAGACTAGGGATCATCTCTAAAAAGGTGGGCATTCAGCTTCATATTTGAAGTCATGAGAGCTCCTGTGGGGGCACTGGGCTTCATTTTAGTAATTTGGAAACTAAGGTAGAAGATGTGATGACTAGGCCTCCTGGCTGCAAAGTAAAAGTGAACCAAGTTTTGGAAGGTGCTCCCAAGGCCCCTCTGACTGCACAAGAGCATTCTGAATGATTTTTTATCTGAGATGAACAGGCCAATGAATTACATCCCTTTGGAGGGAATAGGCAAAGTCCCCTTGTCTTAAGTGCTGCCATTTTGACTTCAGAATCCATTTTATCTTTAGGGTGAATGAATGATCACATTGCCAAGCCCTCTGTGAGCTGGAGACCTTCCAATCGCTGTCCCACACCTCTTTAAACAAGAGAGACACTCTACAGTGAATCTTTAGGTCTGTAAATCATTATGGCTTTTCCTATCAAGAATAAGAACAAATAATTCTGATTGGTTCATTGTTTTTCTGTTTGGAAATGACGGAACACATATGGAAACTTCTGTGTCTGCTTGGTTTGATTTGCAGCCTTGGGGCCACAACATGTTGATGCATTGGCTGGGTCTGAAGATCCACCCATGAGGATCCCAAAATCAATCTGGCAGCACCAGAGACTGTCTGTCATATGGTCCTGTGGAAGTAAGCCATGTTTATTATTTTAGATATGCTTCTGCATGTTGCCTCTCTGCGACCCTAGATAGGAGAATTCAGGAAGCGCTCAGCCAATGAGTCTGCACTGTGATCTCTATT